AGCCGGGCGGGGGGCAGCGGGGCTCTGCTGCTGGAGGCTCGGGCAAGCGCGGCTCAGAGAGGGGTCGGATGTTCTCACTGGTATGGGTATGGAGGATCACGGCGATCAGCAATAAGCTGTTTGATGAGGGGTTCAGGAAGGTGGCTGTCGGGACTTAATTTAAAAAAAACCCTCTTTGCTGGCAATAAACGTGGGTGGTGGGGAGAAATTTGCCGTCTCTGGAGTTCATATGCTATACTTCCTAGTGTACCATCCCCCGCTGTCTGCTACCAGGCACGGATTAAGTGGATGCAGAGGGGTAATCCCATCCTAGTTTTCAAAACAAGTCCTTATGAATAAAGAAGTAAATCTCATTTTGGGCTGCTGGCTTGATTAACAGAAAATGCAGTGAAATGGGACGGTCGGCGGCTGGTACAAATCCGTTTCCGTGGATTCGAGCCAGTGAGCGAACGTCTGAGGGCTAACTGCGGCAGGCACCTCCTGTCGGGTAGCAGGGCACGGCTTTCCCTTTGGACTCTGATGGTGTAGGCTCTCCTTCAGAAAAAGAATAAATAAAGCTGGACTAGAGTTTGAGTTCAGGTTTGATTAAAAAAAAAAAAGTGTATTACCACATTGCCATGATTTGTTTAAAAAAAAAACAAACCCCAGAAACTGTGTGTCCTGGGACGTTTCTTAACGCTTGCAGCATCGATCCTAAAATATCTGCTAAAATTCAGGCAGCAGGGTTGCGTGCTGCCGGGGGTGATGCAGTCTCTGTGGGCAGGCTGTAGGCATGCTCCAGAAGGTGCCACCGCTTCTGGCATTTCTTTTTGTGCCCGAGGCCACTTTTTGTGTCGGTTAGCTGGCAGGGACAAGCCTGGGTCTGTCCTGAGGCCCTGGCGCCCGCTCCTTTGACGAGAAGGGGTAGGGGGAGGCGCAGAAATACACCCCGCCGGACATCCACCCTGTGCCAGGGGATGCGAGCCTTCACAGAGGTCGACCCGTAACTTTAGGAACAACCCAAACAATCTCCTTGGCATTTATTAGGCGGTGTAGACTGCTGACTACTGTGAGAATTAAATCCTTAGATCCTTAAAACGGTTTCACTGTTTTTAAAACTTATTTTTCAGTTTATGAACAGAAATGTGTATAATTACTGACAAAACCACGGACAGTAATACAGCAGTGTACTTGAGCATGTTTTAAAATAGAAGCTTAAGATAGAGTGAAGGAGGTTTAATTTTTAAATGCACACTCCTCTGTTATGCTGACGAGAGACCCTAGAACTTAAAACTCTACTTTTAATTAATTTTTCACTGAAAAGTACAATTTGTCAAAAATTCACTTATTTGCACTTACTTAAATTATGCTTGTTGATGTGCACAGACAATGCAGATAGCTCTTAACAAATTCATTTGTTTAGTGAAAATAATAAATTAAAAATAACTCAGCAGCGTTGTAAAACACAGCCGTGGTCTAAAAACCTCCTAAGAAAGAAACAAGTGATTTGTCTGTGGTTCACATACACTTCGTGACTGAATTGCCAGGTCAAATTGCTAATATGATTGTTGAAAACTACTACAGTGGTTTAGCAGAACAAGTAAGTTGAAATTGTTGCCTGTGCTATTTCACTTTCCCTGAGGTGGCAACAGTCCCTAGCTTGTTATGGTTTGTGACGGCGATGGGCAGCTCTGGGTGTCGTTCCTGCTTTGGTCAAGCTGTCCATTTCTAAGCTTTTGCTCACAAATGAGGCAAACCATTTTTCCATCAAATAACTGACAAAGTTATGATGTGCTAATAAAGTTAGGATAAATTGCACTTACTAATTTTGTAAAAGAATACTTACATTTGCCTTTTTAAGAGGAAAAATTATGTTTGTATTTCATCATATATATGGCAGTGCATGATAGTTCATGACCCTTTTAAAAACGTCCTTTACCTTAAATGGAGAAAAGGAGGAAAATTTAGGCCTCAACCCTTCTATGCTGCTATTCTGCTTTTCTTTTTTTCTTGCTGCTAATTGGATTAAAAGCCGTTTTGGTTACTATGGCATCCCGTGAGGAGATTACTGTCTGTGAAGATGAAGTAAGGTAAAAAATCAGAACTGTGGTATGAGCAGATTTGGAAAGATATCCACAGTTCCAGCGGTTGCTTATGACCGTATCTAAACTTTAAAAATTACTTAAATGAAAGGATATCTTGCCAGATCTCCTCCCCTTTGGGTGTTTGTGTGTGCAGAGTTGCATTTCTGAATGATGTAGGTAATGTTTATGAGAAAGATTACAGACAAATCTGTTAAAACAGATAATAGCTAAACTGGTCATCCTGACTAGTTTTCAAGTCTAAAAGGCTAAAATGCTTTCTCAGAGACCAATCAAAATGCTGTATTTTAACGCCTGCCAAGAAATCGCAGAACTGTCCAGGAGCATCTGAATTCCAAGTATAATTTTGTAACCACACTGTCACCTGAAATGGAAGTTTTAGCAGTTAGATGGAAATAGATGTCTTTGTATGGTGTTGGTCAAAGTGAATCTGTTTAACTGTCTGTTTATGTTTTGTGATATTGTGTCACATTTGAATGTTTCAAAAACATGAAAAGCAGTTCTGTAAGCGTCTTATTTCAAGTCTCATTTTTCACTTGTAAAAAGTGACTTGCCCTGAAGCGGTAAAGCTTTGAACTGTAGACATCAGTAACTGAACTCTTTCAACGACAATTAATGTACTTTGTTGGTGTTTCCATAGGTCTCGGTACAGCCACTTGGAGAAGATGACAGATCTGGTGGCTGTTTGGGAAGTAGCTTTAAGTGATGGTGTTCATAAGATTGAATTTGAACATGGGACCACTTCAGGAAAACGTGTTGTCTATGTTGATGGAAAGGTGAAATGTGCTCAAAATTCACTATGATACAGATTATATAAGTGCACTTCCATGCAACAGGCATCAGAACAAACAAAAGACAAATAAATGCAAGTGAGGTATATTCAGTTGATTAACTTTACCTAATTTAATGAACTGCATCATTCTTTTTTTCAGTTACAATTAAGGTGTGAGTATTCATGAAGTGCTTTGCTGTCCTTGGGCAGAGGCACTCTAGACATACAGAATATTGTGTATTCGTTCATTCTGAAATACTAGTTAAGTATTGAGCTGTTTCCCGAGTTCTAGTTCAATTTTTTTTATACTAAAACATGCATTCAGGTTTATCAGTTAATACCCATTGTCTTTGTTCTATTCTACAGGAAGAAATAAGAAAAGAATGGATGTTTAAATTAGTGGGTAAAGAAACATTCACTGTTGGAGTATCCAAAACAAAAGCTACTATTAACATTGATGCAGTCAGCGGCTTTGCATATGAATACACTTTGGAGATCAACGGAAAGAGCCTCAAGAAGTATATGGAGAACAGGTCAAAAACAACCAATACTTGGGTACTGAGCTTGGGTGGTACGGACTATAGAGTTGTTCTAGGTAAGCAAACATCGAGTGACTTCATGTTGCTGCCTTTGAATAAACTTGTATGCATTTAATAACTGGTAATTAAGAGAAAGCACAGTTCAGTGGCTAGCACTGTTGCAGTGTAAAATCCTGGGTGGTCTGGAAGTTTGGAATCAGATGCCAAAGACAGTCTGAAAAATGATGGTCTCGTTACACCTGTGTGAGCCTGCTGTCAGTGTTCTGTTCTACAGCAGCATAGATTTAAAAAAGGAAAAAAAAAAAAAAGGTTGGAAGGAGTTATGGCTTCTGTATCCATAGAGCTGCCCTAGCAAGACAGTTCTCCAGGTGAAGCATGTTATAGAAGTGTTATCTGCGATGTGATCAAACCCGCTGCGTGTGTAAGTTTGTTAACCAGGTAACCAGGCTTTCCTTCCAAAAATCATAAGCCAAAGTCAAGGAGTCTTTAACTGAAGAAGTGCGACAATGTTATTCTACATTTCTGACAGATTAATCAGCATCCTTTTTTCTGCATCACTTCTTAACTACAAATTTAATCTAAAAACTTCAGACGATGCTTCTTCACTTTCTTAATAGCAAGGCAATACACTTCTTCTCTTCTGCCCCCCTTTCCCAAATACATTACAAGCAGATGGGAGGAAGGGATCCCCTGAGGAATTTGTCTGTGGCATCTAGTGGGAAAACTTTCACTTAGCTATTGCTGTATGGTTAGACCTGAAGACAGGAGATCTTGGGCTATGATTTCTTGTTAAGCCTCAGAACAGAATGAACTGCCCTAAGATGAAGGGGGGCAGGGAGGAAAGACAATTTTAATGCCAGAAACAGATAAGTCTCCTCACAGACTTTTAATCTCCCTGTGCTTACTTAAAAGGCAAGCAGTGTTCAGCTCTCTACTGATGTCCTGTGGATGACAGTGTCGGTAGTGGGAATTCTAGAGCAAAGTAATTTAAGGAGGATGTGCTGGAAGAAGTGAAAATATTCTGTTTCAAATGAAAAAAAAAGCTAAGATTCATATTTAAACTGGTACTTGGGTTTTCAAGGAGATTTTAAGAATACAAACAGTTTGATGGATGTTAAATAATGCTGCTTTTGAATTAAACCAACCTGGAAAAAATGTTAGAGCTTCATTGAAACAGCACTCAAATAATTACCAGAAATTACTTCATTTTTCTGTCTTCAAGATTTTCAGTCTAAGAATGATTTTCAGTTTAACATCTCTAACAATATTCAGAACAACCCAGTGTTAATAGCCAGGACTAGGGAGAGGTAAAAATGTATGTTCATAGCAAAAGTTGTTTGCCCATTAATGACAGAGCCTCCCATCTCTCCAATATAAGAACAAACCCTGTAGCCCAAGTACTATGGCTAATTAGGAGCAACTTTTGGGAACTGAAAGTAAAATTCAACAGTAAATTTTTGAAATTCCTAGATCTTCCTGTCTGGGGAGGGGGGGGGGAAATCCTGTTCTTTCTACTTTTTGTTTTCTTTTTCCTTCACAGAAAAGGACACTATGGATGTGTGGTGCAATGGTCAAAAAATGGAAACAGCGGTACGTGGTCATTTCCAAAGGCTTTTCACAGGCTACGGCTAGATAACCAAAGCTTACCAGATAAGCCACAGAGGGGCACGTTACCTCGCTTTACCACAGAGTATGAGCATACACCTAGACAGCCAGTACGCTATTAGTCTGTTCCAAATGTCCTTCACTGTATTTTACAGCTGACAGTATTTCAGTTAGGATGCCAAACATCTGTCTATTTAAGGATAAACAATGCTTTTGTTTACGCTTTTTGGACAAGCAAAATAAATCTGGGTCGGTTGTCCAGGGTTTTTAGGGAGAAAACTTTCAGGGGAGTGGGAGGGACTTGAGTTTGATGCGGAGTGTAGAGCCACCTCATCCAAACCTGCTCGTGTTAGTGGTGGCTGAACGTTGAACACATGCGGCCTGTTATGACTCATGATTTTTTTTCCATCTAGAGATTGTCCCTAACGCTTAGGGCTTAGCAGTCTCGTTGGAACAAATAAAATCTTTTGTCTTTCTGTCACATCTGCATTAAGTTTTAGAGCAGGTTGACAGCTAGAAGGCTTAATCTATTTGGTATCTTTTTATGTCATGATGGCTTTCAATATGCATACTATGTAGGCTTCCCCATCCTTGAAGGATGTGCTTTCTTGCCCAAGACTTGTCACTGTGATTTCTACTGCCACAAGTAATCCCCTGGATGAGTGCACATTGTGAAATCAACAGTTTTGCTGTACTCGAGAATAGGATGAAAAGATTCACCAAATGTTTCTTTGGTAATCAGTGGAAGAAACATCCTCTCTCAGTGAAGCAGAACTTCTGCTCTTGATGGTTCTCAGCTTTTTCTCTAATGTAATAAATGCACTAGGAGATACTCTTGCACACTACGAGTATGGGTTTAGTTGTCAAACTGTGTTTGCATTAGAGCGGCACACAGACTTCTCTACTCTTCCAAAGATGATGACAAAAACACAGCCATGTGTGGCAAAATCCATAACAGGAAATTACACAACTGCAGCAGGAGCTGCGTATCCAAAATACACAACTGTTATACTCAATTCAGGGATTGCTTTGTCCGGCTGTAGAAGGTACCACTAAATCCTCCCCGTTTTACCGCCACCTCAGCGCAGGTTTGTGTGGTGCTTACTGGCTGTACTGCACAACTTGGAAGGAAACTGCGAGCCTTTTCTATTTTTGTTTTACTGATGTGGATCAACGATATTAATCCACAAACTCCAACTTTACCATTTCTGATTACGTGAAATTTTGATTGTCACCTAATACCCACAAATCTTTAACTGGACGCCTTGACAAAGCCCCATCTGAGATTCCGCAGCTCTGTTCAGCATTTGCGCTGTATTTGTCGCAGGTACCTGCGGCTGCTCTAATTGTGGGAACCACAAGCGATCTTGACTTTGGAAACAGTCTGATGCACTCAAGCTTTTATTTTACTAAAATAGCACGTGTCTGGTTTTATTCTTGTCTCCTTTCTCCCAGGGTGAATTTGTAGAAGATGGGACTGAAACTCACTTCAGTGTTGGTGGTCACAGCTGTTGCATTAAGGCTGTCAGCAGTGGAAAACGAAAGGAAGGAATTATTCATACCCTTATTGTGGATGACAGAGAAATCCCAGAGGCTGTGGAGTAGCCTCTAGTGAGCTGATTATTGTAGGACTAAGATCAGGAATTTTCAATTACTGTGGTAATTACTTTAATATGTACTACTTGGTACATCTAGTTTGTGCTGGGTTTATTTTCTAGTTTCTGTATATGAAATTACTCTTTTCGAGGACCAGATGAAGATAATTATATACAACCTCTTACATTACCAGTTTTTAAAAAACTATATACGCATATAGAATATATATTATATCACTAAGTGCAGAGAGCACAGGTGAACTTAACTAGAAATTATATACTAGAAAAAAAATCTCGCTATAATAAAATGCAAGATAAGTATTGAGTAATTCACCCCTTATAAACTGTGGGTGTATGTGGAGGGAGGAGGAAGCATGGGCATTCGAGTAAGCTGTTAACATAATATCAGTAAAGTAATTATTTTTTCTATTAAACTGACTACCGACGTTTTTCAGATGCAGTTAAGAATTACAAAGTTAATAAAAAGGTTAATGAAATACATTGTTACCAGTACTTGTGTAACAGTATTAAAACAATACTGCACTATGAAAACTGTTCTTTATTCCAAGTAGGAGAAAAGATGTTACATTGTGCCAAAAAAAAAATCCTTTGAGGCTTTCTGAAAACTGATGCTTGTTAGAAATTGTTGCAGTAGTTCAGAAACTCATCTACTGAGTTTTTTCAAAAAAGAAAACAAAAAAAATAAAATTCCTGCCATGAAACTCCTGTAATAATGAAACCTTTTGAAGCAAGCTGAAATAAGAGCTGCTTCTTGTTCAATGCTGCCTAACAAACCTTAAATCTACAGCTGTGTGTTTTCCTGGCAGTAATGTGTGAATCAAGAAACATGAGGAAAAATGGGACAGAAATAGAGGAGAAGAGTTGGTTGCTTAAATGGAAAAGTTAAAATAGAAGTAGACCGATTGTGTTTTCAAACTTCGAGCATACTATCTAAAAGCAACCTTGGGATTTCTGTGAGAACAAGACTCGTATGTGTTAGATGGCTCTTACAAGTTCACGGCAGGGGGGGTGTCCCATTTAACATTACACGAGAGCGTAGGCTCACACACTACAAAAGCTACCCTTTTGCAACAATGTAGACACAGCTAATCTTAAAAATAATTAAGGAAAAAAACCCAAACCCAAAATATGATTATATTCATTTAAAAGTTTGTTTTGCAATGGTACAAAAAATTTTTTCCACTTGCAACCTCACTTAGAGTTCAGAATTAGACTTTTATGACTTACTTTCTTTTGGACTTGTGAGTGGTTCCTAGCACTATGACTACTATCTTGGGAGTTGCAGGAGCAGCACAAGTGTGCTGAGAATTCATTAATCAATTATTTTGAAAAGTTTTATTGACTGCTAATTTCGTCTATGTTTCAGGGTTCAGACTGCTCTCCTTTAGCACAGTGCTTTACATGTGGATGAAATGCTTTTCATGTGACAATGTCGTCATTTTTTAATAGTTTTATGCGAGCCTTTCTTCTCCCCAGATAATTACAGTTTTAACCACAGATGACTTTTCAATCTAGAAGCAGAAGTGATCTTGACAGATGAGCCTTTATTTCTGTATTACAGCACCGTTATAAGCCGTTGGGTGTTTAGTTAGGGCCATAACTAGTGGTTTTAAGTGCTTCAGATTGGACAAATCTGGTAGTAGCCTTCAGTTTGGGGCAATAGATTTGTTTTAAACCCTGCTAACGTCAGACAGTTTCAGGCTTTAGTACAGAAAGTTTCAAAGTACCTGAGAGCTGGACTAAATCCCCTTTTACATTGAAATGAGTAAAACAGCTCTTAGGCTTTTCCGTTTACTGGCTTCAGGTCACTACAGAAGCAATGTGGGGATATCTACACTTGACACTTAATCTTTAAAAAATACTGGTAAAGGCAGATTAATTGAAGAGCAATTTCAAGCTGCAGCTTGAACCAGTTCTCTACTATTTTGTAGCCTTTCAAAGAGAGTGAACACGACTGAGAAATCTGAAGCTCAAATACAGTCCAGGTCACGTTCTTAAAACTATATGGAAAAATAACAGGTTAGCTGACAGTATCATTCATACTTTTTATTTTGAATACATGTATCTCCAGTGCTCGGAATCTCTGAACTAATAAAAACTGTAACAGCAACTACTGTTAGAAATTATGAAGTATTGCCTCACACTTGTCATAACTATGTGTATTTAATAGCATGTCCCCAAGTGGGAAACAGCTTTCACCTGATACATTCACCTATTTAAGTCAAAAGAAAATTTAAGAATCAAAGGCACAACCAAGATTTTTTGGGTTTCACTAATATATGCAATATCTCAAATTAAGAAAATGTAATGGAAGAATGACAACCTACACAAACATCAAGTGTATAGTCACACGCTCAGAATGCTTTAAGGCATAAAGTAAATGACCAGATAAATGTTAAACTGTATGTTGTGATGCTTTCCCTTCCGTTTCCATTCACAGATAGTTTGTTTTCTAATCTCCTTAAGGTATTGACTTACTTTTTTTGTTCACAGATATCCCAGAGCACTTTGCACAAGGCACTTTGATCACAGCATGTTACTAGGTAGAGCATCCTCTTAAAATCTAAGTACTAGACTTTGTTCTGAAGGGGTCTTCACAATAGCTACAGTTCTGATTAATTCTTACTCAGGATGCTTCTGGTTTCCTCAGAGGGCCGTATACCTCTCCCTCACTCGGGAACAAGTCAACAAATATTGTGGAAGGGCCCCAATGCTGTTGCAAATGACAAAGGTGTCAGGATTGTTTACATCATCTACTAAGCTGTCATATACCCTAATGGCATCCCCCTCCACTGCCGGTGGCATAATGTAAGACGGCTTCCCTTTAGTGTATAAGCCTGTTAATACATCAACCTCAAAGACGTACATTTTAGAGTCTGCTTCCCACGTATCTTTATGCTCGATTAGGCTTTTCGGGTTCCTTTTAAAGTAGATGCCGGCTCCATATTTTTGTTCTGGAAAAAGAAAGAAAAATTTTCAGAAGAAAAAAAAAAGCCTTAAACAATTGGTTCTTTTGGGGTGGTAGTACTAAGAGACTGCTTCGTGATTCAGTATTACATTTTATGTTACTGCTCAATGCGCGCCATCCTTTTGGAAGTAAATTTGCATTAAGTGGCTCTGATGCTAGCACTGATCTCCCATTGAAATCACGAGCGATGACAGCTGATGGCTATTCCGATTTAACTGCTGCTCCAGCGATGACCATTCGGATTTAACTGTTACTCCAGTGATGGAAACATCAAGGTATAATGTTTTTATATAAAACACCTCTGTCATCATGTACTAGGGACTCTGATAAGCACCAAAGAAGGTAAGTTTTTAATAACGCAAACTACAAAAAAAGTTTTGGGATTTATAAGGAGAATGCTGCATAAAAATGCTATTACAGTATCACATGGAAGAGCGCAAAGAAATGATATTAGACCATCATCCTATTTATTACTGTGAAAGTGTGAAAATGTGCCACGTACATTGCATAGACAAGGAGAGGCAAATCTCTACTTTTTGAACAGTTTATTGCCTGAAATCCCAATTCCACATTTGACAAGCAAAATACCACGCCCTTCACCTGTTGCAGGATGAGGTGCCAAATGCTTGTTCTTTCCATTTCGGAAAACATCTGTCTACTGCACTGCCTACTACAATATTTCATAGACACCACAACTTTCTTCCTAACTGTTTGAATGGGAGCCTGCTCAGTCAGATTATCTGCTGTCTCTGATCGCACCTGATTTGAGCAGGGGGTTAGGCTAGGTGTAGTAGCCTAATTTCAGCCTCAATTATCCTGTGACTCCTTTGAACATGCTTTAAAGCATCAAGCTGCTGAATGCCTGTTTGCAGCAAGTAAATAAGGATGTTGTCTTTCTTGAAAGGGTGATGCAACAAAATAAAACTTGGACATGGCATTATGTGTATATTAACAATTCTGTCAACATGTTGTGTCTGGGCTGGGCTAGAATCCAGGCTCATCCTCCCGGAGCCTTACTGACTCTATAGTATCAGGAAGGAAAAACAGGAAAATCTTACTGTAGGTAAAAAAGTAAGCTCGTATGACTCTAAATGCAGGTAAGAAACAGTTCTTGTTTAGGAATGCCATTTTTTCTGATTTTAATCCAACTTTAGTAGTTGGTCACTGTTCATTTTGTTTAAAGATGCCAAAGCAAGTTATTACCTGTTGGTGGTGAGTACATCCTGTGAAATCCAGTTTGGCACACCGAGCTGCAGAACTGAGCAGGAACATGCTGGTACAGCTTGTGGGTTACTTTGGAGGTACCTTGTTTTTCTTCTATTTTTTTTTTCATTTGTTGGAATGCAGCAGATAAAAGAGGATTATATATCTTCTCAATCTGTAACATAAATGATAGCGTAGTGTAAGCAAACGGAGACCAATATCCATGAAATCCACGAGTGCTGTTGTTCCGGCTATGTTCTTCAATGTAAGAACCTTTGATTTAGCTTATATGCATTGACCACGTAGTGGATAAGGTATGTGAAGTGTGCAACTGATCCACAGGAAAAGAACCATACCACTGTCCCATGCCTCTCATTGAAATCGATGGGAATATATCCTAGTGTACTGATTTCCAGTACTTGAGTTGTGCTGAACAGATTGAGTATCAACCGTACGTGAGAATAAGCTGTGTGGGTGCTTACAGCCTAATCTTGTAAAGAACTGCAAGTGTCCTATAAGGCGTGGAAAACCTCAGCTCTCGTTGATCAAAACTTTACAGCTCTTGGGGAAAAAAAGATCCATAGGTAAGAGGGCCTTTACGTTAGCTTGTGTCTTGAAAACATGGCTGCATGCAGCATAACGCCACACAGAACTTCAGGCAAATTGGCTGCGCTGCAGCTCTTGCTCCCGTACCCAACTCGACCCATGGGCCAGTCACAGTCCTAAGGCAAAAGTCAGTACCAGAGCTCTGCAAGGCCTCTTCTCCAGCAATGTGCTCATGCCAGACTTCTGACTGCTCAGCTAAAAACAAGCAGGCGCTGAAGCGCGATCAAGCTTTTGCTCTGTTAAAAGTCATTTAACTGAGCTATGACCGATCCTCAGTGCAGCACTGTTTTAAATCCTGATGTAGCTTTTGTGTTGAGCCTCAACAAAGTCTTTAGTTCTGCAGATCAAAAAGCACTTGCTTTCATCGGGTTGGTACTTGCTATTATTTCAATGTTAAATATCTTTCTCGTACGAAAGGCAGTTTGGCACGTGGCAGTCTGGTTTCCAGTTACCCTCTGTTACTACTAGGCACACAAATCCCTGTTTACAGACTTCCATATTTCTCTGTGTTGCACAGCCTCATCCTCCTCCCTTTCAGTGAAGCACCGTGTGCTGGGTCTGGCTGAGATGGAGTTAATTTTCCCCATAGCAGCCCTCGTAGTGCTGTGCTTTGTATTGGTAGCTAGAAAGGTGCTGATAACACACTAGTGTTTTGGCTACTGCTGAGCAGTGCTCGCACAGCACAGAGGCTGTCTCTCCAACATTTCCCCCCCTCACCAGTAGGCTGGGGTGGGCAAGGTCGTGGGAGGGGACACAGCCAGGACAGCTGACCCAAAATGACCAAAGGGATATTCCACGCCATATGGCATCTGCTCAGCAATAAAAACTAAAAAAAAGGGGGGGGGACACGGGACACGACATTCGTTATTACAACGTTTGTCTTCCAGAGCAACCACTACGCATATGGAAGCCCTGCTTCCCGGGAAGTGGCCGGACATCACCTGCTGATGGGAAGTAGAGAATAGATCTTTTGTTTTCCTTTGCTTCCGTGCACGGCTTTTGCTTTTGTTTTATTAAACTGCCTTTATCTCGACCCATGAGGTTTTTTTTTCCTTCCATCTTATTTTCTACTCCTCCCGGCCCGGTCCTCCTGAGGAGGGGAGTCACAGAGCAGCTTGGTGGCACCTGGTGTCCAGCCAGGGTCAACCCACCACACACTGATATCAAGCAAGATCCCAACTTCAACACACTACTAATCAGATCATAACTCTGACAAATTCAGTTGCTAATTTTTGGTGTCAAGCTCATAAGAACAAAACAGAGACACTGCATTAGTGTCCTGGATATTGTACTTGTTCTAACACACCAATCTCATTTCTCTAGAGTCCTACAGAGGAACATTTGAAGCCTGAAGTAAGAGTCAGAATACACAGTGCAGTTAAAAGGACTTCTCAGAATTTAACCACACTTTTTGAGTGATTATTTGCATTATGTTTAAAATACTTTTTATTACATCTATAATAGACTACATCTATTTTAAGGATGAGGCTGATTTGATCTTAATTTTTAAAAGCAATATATTGAAATAGTTCATCTGAGTTTTTTAAGCATGTGTTAAACAGATATATCAGCTGAGATTTAGTTTTTCCATGAATAGCCTCTTTACCTTGAGAACACAAAGCCCAGCTTTTTCAAACTGTTTCTGTCTGTCTTTAAACTCCTGAAGGTATGATTCCACCAGTGAAATCTGGACGCGTTTAGTAATATCTGTCCTGTGATGGTGTCCTTCCGAAAGCTGACCTGCTTCTGGTTGGCCTGGATACAAATGAGGGAGTAAAATTTTCATGCATCATAATATCTGAAGCAAAGGCAAGGAGGTGGGATCCAATACTTCAGTTTGGTAGTTTAGTTAAGAACAAAGAACGTTAAATACTCTCCAAAGTAGTGCCAGAGGCTAATATAGAGAGGGATTGAGAGATATATATTGATTTATTTGTTTTTTTCTACATTTATTAAAGAAACCGGAGAGAGAGAGAATCGCAGAAAAGCAATTTATCTATCTTCTTTACTACATCTCTCCACAGCCCAACTTTCATATAATGGTATCTATATTGAATGACTATAAAAACACGAGGCAAAACGGATCACTCAGTAGCTTTTTGTAATGCCACTAGTTCTATCCACCATTAGTGAAAGTCAAGGGCTCTGAAGAACAAATCCATTGATGGGTCCTGCAACAGCGGTCCAGCTGTAGCTAGCAAAAGAGCTCAGCAAAGGCTTGTGTTAATTCAGGTGCAAATTTTGTAAGTCTCCAGCGGCCAGGCTTTAAAGCCAAGCTGTCCTGGAGGAAGCCAGCGTTACAGCTGGCTGTACAACGATGGCCAGCCCCTATGTAAACTGTGTCCTACGGGGAATATTGCCAAGTGAGTAACCAAAGCTAACAAACGCTCTTTCAGGGGCTCATATGATAAACATACAGTAATACCGGTAATCGAAGCAATGCTCGGTATGTGTGTGAACTGAATGCACGTCTGTCCACTCTCAGCAATACACAGATATACGTTGCTTCATACTTGACCTTATTTAGGCACTTATTTACTTAATTAGCCACTTATTTACTTTACATACCCATTAAGTACAGCAGTTCCTCTTGTTTGGCTGTAGTCTTCTCTTGCATACGAAGCAGTAATTTTTCAGTTGCGAGCACTGCTTCAATCACAGCATTAGGGGGGCCCTGAAATTCCAGTCTTGCTTTTCCACCTCGCACTTCTTCTGATACACATACACTAGAATGCCACTCTTGAGATAGTTCTGCAAACTCGTTTTTACCGAGGCTAAAAATGTAGTTGTTTTCAATAACGGCACGGTGACTTTCCTGAATTTGTACCACGCTTTGGATCCACGATTCTGCTGCTTCCAATGCTGTATGTGTGTTCCCTTTAAGTTCAATAGCTGGTTCATTATTTGCAGTCTCTTTTATGCTTTGACTGCCTGACTCTGTACCTAGAAGAAAGATTTTTTTTTTATTATAAGAGTGAAGAGCTTTCACGTGCTGTCACAAATTCCTATATGTAATCCAAGAGGTACAGTGCAAGAAACACACTACTCTTCTGGTATGCTCAAAAAAAAGAGATTAGATACTAGGAGGTAAGGTTTCCAGGAAAAAAAACAACCCCACACATGCAGAATTTATTTGCCTTCCACTAAATTAATTCCAACAAGTTAGACACTGACGATTTTTATGCTTGAAAATCTTATGAGGGACTGCCCAGTTCCATTCCTATGAATGTAAAAATGCAAAGCACTCACACATTTTTGCCTCCCCCTTTCCCCAAGACACATATGCAAATACTAAGCTCTTTTTAAAGGAATGTGATTTCAGATTCTAAAATCTGGAGTGCTTATTTACTTGAAATGCCCCTTCTGTTCGTTACTTACTCAAATGATCACTTCTGTCGTAATACTCCTTTTTTCCCAGTTTCTGTGCTGCTGAATAAAATTTTCCCTGAAAAACCTTGAAAGAGAAAAGTTTAGGAGCAGTTTGCCATCTCTGTTGTCAAATATGCAATTCCTCTCTTCAAAACTCTGTTAGATAAGCAGTTTACAGCTGTAGTTACACAACACCCCCAGATTCTGAAATTGTTAACAGCTGACATTTGTCAGCTTTTCCTAAAATGTTATTCCTGACAATATCAAATGCACTCCTGTTCTTCTAAGTCTCCTAAGGTAAGACACCTCACACACTGAATGGCACCTTTTACCAACTCCTTGTGGCTGTGGCATATCCAGAATTCATGCAACCACAGTAGATAAAGGTGTTCATTACTTGCAGTTTAATGCTGATGAATCCTTACTCAGTTTTAAAACCCAGACTATTCCGCTGCCTTTACCCCAAAGCTTCTCTTCTCGATCACACATGGAAAGCCTCTGAGAAGCGCTACTCCGCTAGGCAGTGGATTTGGCATCTGGCAAATTGCCTTTCCTTCTTTTTTCAGCAAAATGAGTTTCTGCTGTGCCCTGATTATCAAGGGATTAAGTGATGAGCACATAGCTGTCATACAGCTTCCTTTAGAGTTTATGGGACTGTTATAGAACATAGATCTGATCTTAGAATCATAGAATGGTTTGGGTTGGAAGGGACCTGAAAGAAAATCTAGTTCCAACCCCCCTCCACCTAGTTCTTGCACCTGTTGAAAGAATGGATGGTTGAAGTTAAATGGGAACAAAAGCAAACTCTGTACTTTCGTAATAGATGGCTATCTAAAATAGTTGTGTATTAATCACACCGACCAAATATTCAAAAGCTGGAAAATGGCACACTGCAGTTGAAAATATCCAGTGTCCATCCGCAACCCTTGTATCATGTTAGGTCATATAATGTGTTGATAGTGTTTTGCCCCAGGAACTTCATACCAAAAAAATAGTTAAAGAAATTTCCTGAGGAGGAATAAGCTTATTCCCTAATCAGTTAAGAGTAGACTCTTTCTCATAAATTCCCTGATAGTCATGGGAATTTCAGAGCTCCCTCCCCTAGCTATCAGACCACAGGGTAAAGACTTCAGCTTTAGCGAAGAGAAAATAAAGTTTTGTAAAGATTAATAATACCTGTTAATGAGACAAATAGTTTCACAAAGGGACCTGCTGCTCACAAATGTTATAAGTAGTACGGAATTCAGATTATCTTAATTTGTAGTGATCTATGGAAATATTTTTACAGTTCTGGGTTTTCCTTATTGGTAGTTAACAACAAATTTGCTACCTGATAGGCATCATAGTCATCTGGGCAAAAGACAAACTGCACATCCATCTTCTTCTCAGGGTGTGCCCTGGCAAAATTTAAAACCTCGCCAATCATGATCTCTGCCACTATATCAACAGGCAGCATTAACAACCAAATCCCATTTGCTGGAAAAGAAACTGAGGGAGACCGCCAGTCCAAAAGGTGACACAGGCATCTTATCATTGCAGCTTTTAATTCCTGCAGGAAAAACAAGTGTTTTAGTCCTCACATCACTCAAGATGAAAATGAATTAAAATCCAATCTAACTGATCATCACCTCACACAGTAACACTCTGTGGTGGTATGGCTGCCATAGAACGTGCAGTACAAGCTCACAGGCCAGATTATAGCCTTGTGTTACTATGAGTTTCTCATGAGGCAAACCACGTCTTAGACGAGACTGAAGTTCATTCTGAAGACCTGAACCCGCTTTTTGCAGCAGTCCTCTTGAAACCGGACAGTAAGGCTCGCCATTCACAGACACAGAATTAACAACAGCTGTAGTCTGGAAGAGAAGAGTGCAAAGTTTCAGTATACTTCAAGTTTACTATTTGCAAGTTTTGCTACAATAGAAAGCACTCTTTCTAGGAACAATTCCTTTAAAAAAGCCTGGCTGCAGCAGATCAGCTGTTTGAAAGGTTCTCTTACTACTACTAAGGGCAGCGCTGGAATACATCAAAGTATGCACCTTCTAGTGGCAGCAAATGCATGCTTTTTTTTTTTTTAAGCCAACACGGTGCATAAAACCTGTTCAAGTCATCAGTGTATTCAACAGAATTATTACCGCAGCTATAGAAGTGACCCATATGCGCCTCATCAAATGGAATTCTGCAGCCAATTATCAATGAGCAGGAGACAACTATGGCTATGTCTGTTACCCCAGCCCACGCAGATGCTCCCTGCATCAGGGTAGCAAGCACTCGTCACCAGACTAGCGGGGTCAGTGCACGCAGGGGAACTGCAAAGCTATGGTTGCTTCTAATTCCCAGTGGAAACAGCAGATTCCCATAGTAGGTCTTCTGTATTTCAAATTAAACATGTAAAATGCAAACCACTTGTTTACAGAATGCCGATAACAGCAGTAATTGTTCTAACTTTAATTGTTGAAGATTCTCTAAAGATACAAGACTTTGGAGCCTATTTTCCTCATAGTCTCGAAGGCATGTGGTATCTTTCAGTGCTGTAGAAATGGTTAATAAAATTCCCCACACTGCCAACTTTGTGATCCTTTGCTCTCACCTCAAAAAAAATGAACTTTCTATTCAATTAAGACACTTCTTTAAAATAAAAGTTATGAATTTTTTTAAGATACAGTATTTGCTGAAAGCAAATGCCATTCCTGTGACGTAGCTTCCAGTCTAAGAGCTCTGTTGGATTATTATGACCAAGCTCATATATTTTGCATCAGATTTTCTAGCTAAAAGGTTAAATGAATCAATTTAAATGAAGCACTGTTTAAAGGTAAGGTGCACATCATCTGTATAAGTTATTTTCAGCTGTTTCAGTTATTCAGTTTGCTGAATAACTCCAGTAGGGACACCTATGAGAACATAAATTATAGGAAAAAAGGCAAGGCAAAAAATAAGAGTAGACTTCTAGGGAATGCATGATAAAATGTGAACTCCCATGATGTTATAATAAGAAGATAAACATTAACATAGGGATATATTATTATTAATCATCCAATCTTTAGCTGCTTCCTATTATCCCATAACAGCATGTATACAAAAAAAGATATTAAAATGTTCTAAAGTTTAATACCCATTTAGAAAAAAACCCAACTCCTTGCTGCTATAATTTATTTACCATTTGTAAATTTTCATCAGGATGAGAAGATAACTATTTGGTGGACCAATACAATATGTGTTCTGAACTCTTGGGCTCCAAATCCTGCAAAGACTTGGAGGCAACTCCATGTTCAACGTAATACGGGACGGACTTACCTTCTGCTCTTCAATGAGTCCTCTTATGATGCGCAAGCGAATGTCTCCATGTTTGATGAAAGCTGAAGGCTGGCTTGGTGAAGCTGAAAGAGTTTCCTGAAGTGAACTGGTATCACCCAGAAACTTTTCACAGACCTTCTTCATTTCTGCAACTGTAGGCTCAGAAATGTTCACCAGGCGGATCTCCCTGAGACAGCTGGGTGGACTTGCCTCAACAAATCCCCTTACAGCCATTACAATCACTTGAGCACACAGACTGAGCGGGAAGCCAAAAATACCTGAACTCACTGCTGGGATAGCCACAGACTTTATAGTATTTTCTGGGGCGCTAACGTACTTCAGAACATTCACGATAGCTTCCTGAAGCAGGTCACAACATCTTTCCTTTTCAAAAACGGTCCACCTTGGACCAACTGTATGAATAATTTTCTTACAAGGAAGCTTCCCTCCACCTGTCACTGCTATTTTGCCAACTGTGAGTTTTCCATACCTTTGAATATGAAGATTGCTTTGCTCTGCTATTTCTGGCCCTCCAGCGTTCACAAGGGCTAAAGCAAGGCCTCCTGAATGCTCTAGATATTCATTGGCTGCATTCACCAAAGCATCGGCCCTGTGTCTTGTGAGATCATCCTTACAAACACAAATGTCAATTCCCTGCTTTAGTTTCTTCCTGTATACTTCAGTGGTGCATTTTGTACTTTTGAAGGTCAACGTACAAGCAAACTTTTTGCAAATGAGATTGCTTAAACAGTCCTCTCCTTTCTTAAGAACTTCATAGGCATCTTTATTGATGGGGATTATCAAGCTGCTCTCATCCATTATCATGCTTGGCCCTAGGATACAGAATAATATAAAGTGAAATCCAAGATACTACTGTCAAAACATTGCTTTTTATATAGAAGTGTGGTTTATAGCTCTCAATTTTATCCTTCTGTCATTACTTACCAATACTTTTGGCATGGTCTGATCTTCTCTCTCCCCTTTTCATAGGCTTAGAAAGCCCAACTAAGCAAAGAAATCAAGGCCTCGAGTGTTGTTCATTATTCTGTTCAAATTAACCTCCCCATCTAAGTAGCTCCTTTCCCACCTTTCCTCAAGACCTTCTCTTTCTTTCCAATGCCTTATGAATCACACCAGTGTGAGGTTCAGGAAAGTGAAAAGTTCAAGTGCACTCTGTCAGCTTAACATATTTGGATTCTGAGAAACAGTATTATGCTGTCCACTGTTTCCTGTAAGCCTGTGAATACTTTCAGTTTCATCTTTCCAATCAACAACCAGCTCCCTTCCCGTAACTGAACACGGGCAGACACGGGAGCGGCCAGCTGCTGATCAGTGTCCTCAGAGAGACCACACACCCCCCTCTGAAGCAGTCTGTCTTCCAGATTATCTTCTTGTGACCTGGCAGATGTCAGACCTGGTGAAATATGCCCTGAGCCCCCAAACAGCCTGCTCAGAGTCCTCTCAGCAGAGGGATTACCAGCATATAGCCTGTAGGTCCCTTGGGCAAACACCTTTTCCTTAGAAGTGGCTGATCG